AGTACTTAATTTAAACATTTAAAATCATAATTTCCCATGACAAATTTAAGGGGGACTTAGAATGCTGATTTCTAAAGAAGTCGTTAACATCAGTGTCAGTTGAGAAATGTAAGGAGAGAAAGTTATAATCAGCTTTCAAGTTTTAATGATTTCATTCACAAATCCCTACTAAATTTAACTACATTTCAAAGCTTCCTAATTGTAGGTCTTAATAGAAAAATCTAACACTTCAAAAAATAAGATTCAGAAGACTATAAAAGTGAATAACCTAGGAATAAATATAAAATAACAAAGTGTGCAGGACCTGTGTTTGAACTATTGCAAAACTTAATTTCAGGATGTAAAAATATTTTCAGGGAAGGAATATTGTTTAGAATGGGAAACCTAAATGTTGTAAAGATTTCATTCCTCTAGATTAACCCATAAATTTAAAAAGACTTTAATTACAACTATTATAGGATCTTTTAAAGTTGAGAAAAATATGTCCACAATTCCTCTACACAATGAAAAAGTAAGAGGTTAGAAAAATGCTTCCATATAACAGAGTGACATATATATTTTTACCAGCTATTGACACTTCATATCTAGCCTTTAATATCTACATAAGAATTTATTGTATACATAGTTATATATGGATAATTAAGTCACTTTTATATTGGTATAGTGAAAATATTATATAGAAAGCTAAATAAAAATTCAATTAAACAAAAGCCTATGTGATGGTTAATTTTATGTGTCAACTTAACTGAGCCATAAAGTGCTCAGCTGTTTAGTACAATATTATTCAATGTATGTCTGTGAGAGTATTTCTGGATGAGATAAACATTTGTAGTGGTAGAGTGTGTACAGTAGTTGGCCCTCCCCCATGTGTATAGGCCTTATCCAAACCACTGAAGAAGAATTTGCTATCTCTCCCTAATTGTCTTCCACCTAAAGCATTGATCTTCTTTTGCCTTTGATCTCAGAGTTTGATTCAAATTTACAACATCAGCTATCTTGATTTCCAGCATCCAGACTCAGATTATAATATTAGCAGTAGCTCTCCATCTTGAAAGGCAGCTTCTATTGTTCGATATTTTGTTTATGAGATTTATCTATGGAGTTATATACATAACATATTTTCATTATTGAATATTATTCCATTATTATACAATGCATTATTCCTCATAAACATTATGTTGTCTCTAGCTTTTGACAATGGTAAACAAAGTTTCCATAGGCATCCTTTAGGTTAAATTGCTTGATTGAAAAGATGTACGTGCTTGGGCTGTGCCTATGACTCAAAGGAGCAGGGTGCCGGCTCCATATACCAGAGTGGTGGGTTCAAACAAATCCCCAGCCAAAAACTGCAAAAAAGAAAAAGAAAAGATGTATGTGCCATTTTAACAGTACTGAGAAACCACTTTCAGGTAGTCAAACATTCCACAGAGACTTTTACCATTATTCACTTTCACTGACAATGTTTAAAATTTGTTTGTTTTCAATAAGGGTGAGAATCACTCTTTAAAAAAATTTTCTCTATTACTAGTGATACCTGACAAGGCGGCACCAAGACTGGCCACCTTGTCCCTGGACCTGTTGCTGTTGAACAAATGGAGGAATTCGTGGGACACGAGCAGGAGAAGACACTGGCGCAGTGCCATCCCCTCACGTGGACTTCTGGCAGATCAATTCCTCTAGTGCATCCCTGATTGGTCTGTTTTCAAAACCTGCTCCTGATTGGTCTATTTTCAGAACCGGAAAGCACAATTGCCCCTATATAAGCCCCTAAACAGAGTCCAAACACAGACCTCTGAGAGAGAGCAGGAGAGCAAGGTTTGGTTCTTCGTGAGAGCTGTAACACTTGTATTACTGCTGATCCTGCTTTGCAAGGAGGTTTGGCTCTTTGTAAGAACTGTAACACATGTATTATAAAACCTATCTTACTACTGATCCTGCTCTGCAAGAGCTGTAACACTTGTTAAATAAAACCTAATAAAACCTAACCTACCGCTGAGCCTGTGGTCTGTCACTTCATTCATCCAATCGCTGAAACCAAGAACCTGAAAGTCCAGTATCACTCGGACTTTAGTGTTATCTCAAGGTGGTTCTAATTGACATCTGAAGATATAAAGCAAATGGCTTTTTTGTCTTTTTTTCTTCTTGTATCATATTTATTCATTTTTGCCAGTATTTTATTTTATGTGTAGCTATTGTTAATGAGTACTTAATTTGACTTTTAGCTTGACTATTATAAGTATATTGAAATGCTATTGATTTGTGTACACTTGTTTTGTAATTGAACTTTGCTATTTTGTTTTTTTTCATTTCTAGGAGTCTTTAATAGCACCTTCAGGATTTTCTAGATACAATATCATATCATGAGTAAAATGGGATAGTTTTCCCTCTTCCTTCATTATTTATGTTCCCTCTATTTCCTTCTCTTGCCTAATTGTTCTGGCTGGGACTTCCAGTATTATGTTGAATACAAGTGATGACACTGGGCACCCTTGTCTTGTTCTAGTTATTAGTGGGAATGTTTTCAACTTTTTTCTATTCAGTATGATGTTGGCTATGGGTTGTCATGTAAACTTTTTACCATGAATCTATGTGAATACTTGTGTTAGATGTGTTTCTTGGAGATAGTATATACTCGGGTTGTGATTTTTACCCATTCATCCACTCTATATCTTTTGATTTTAGCATCAAGACTGTTCCCATTCAGTGTCAGTACTGTTATGTAAGAATTTATTCTTTTCATTGTGTTGAATGGTACCTTGTTGTTTTGTGGTCTTCCTTTTGCTACTCTTTTATAAGAGCCATGAACTTTAACTTTTACATGATTTCACACTGGTGAAAATCTATTTTTCCATTCCATCTATAGTGCAGTTTTGAACAGTTCCTATAAAGTAGGCCCAGTAGTGACGAATTTCTTTATTCCCTGCTTGTCTGGAATAGTCTATTTCTCCATCATTTGCGAAACTTACTGAATTGGCAGTGACAATAATTTTGAAAGAAATGTTGATATGGCAGTGACTTATGGTGAGAGTACTGGGTACTCTTGAATCACATGGAGGTGACTAAGGTGGTGGTAGAGTGGGGGGCAGTGATAGTAGTGGGGGGTGGTGATAGCAGAGAGGTGTGCATGGCATCTAGTCACAGTGCACATGAAAGCCCTCCCTTCCTTGCTCTGCAGTGCTAGTGGTTAGGTGCCTATAGTGAAGCTGACCCATCTATAGATGGGGCTTTCTGGGGCTGAGAAATAGAATGGAATACTTTGCAGAGACCTAGCCAGAAGGAACCCACTATGTCCACTCTTCAGTGCAATGTTGCTATCTGATGGGTTCAGAGTCCTCCTGTGGTGGGGAAGCACTCTTGCAGTTGAAGTTGTTGTGCCTGCTAGGGGAGTATGGAGCCCTGGAATTCTCTCCCTTAACCTTTCCCCAGGTGTGACTGCCCTAACCCTTCCCCATGTGTGACTGACACCATGGCAATGTGTAAAGATTGAGAGTTCTGAACAGCTCAGGGAACACTCACCTTCCCTTAGTATCTGAGATTCTCCTTTTCAATTAAGATATTTCTAGCCAAGTAGAGAAATGAAGGCAGAGGATGCCAAGGTACAGTGAGAGAGTCCTGAATGGAAATCTTTTTATTATACCTGTTATCCCAAATTTTGTTTTTCTGATTAAGAAAATCACCAGAACTACTGTGGACAGGGCTGTAGCACTGAGAGGCAGATTCTACCACTATTAACCCCTGATTAAAGACACACTGTAGCTTTAAGGAAAAGCTGCCTCTGTCTTCTATTGGCACCAGGCAAACCAGATAGACCAAACTATTATGGCAAAGATCCTGAACGTTAAACTGCTATTGGAATCATAGCCCAAAACTAGACCAAGGCTTACATGCTGAACCTAAACAGGATAATTGCCTGCTAAATATTTAAATGGAACACAAGGTGTTCTAATATAACAGAAGAGTTGTCTAAGATACAATTTAAAAACCAAAACACGCCAAACTTCATCTGTGTTAAATAGAAATGTGCAAACTGAAACCTAAATGAAAAAAGGTAATCATCTGATATAAACACCATAATGAATAAGATATTGGCATTTTTACATAAATTATAAAACAGAGTCCGAGTATTATAATAGATTTTAGAAAACCTACAGACAATAAAATGTCAGTAAGAAATTCTCCAATTTCTTCTACAGATTTACTTTCGATACTTAATCTCTTGGAAATTAAAATTAATATTTATAAAATCTTATCAACCTGGCTAAAACAAAAGATTTTTAAGCTACTGTTTTCATTTTTATAAAGCTAAAAACAAAAGTTAAACTTGTAGGATTATGATGTATTTTAGCTCACAAGATATAGAAAAACAAATGTACTGCATCATTTATACTAAGGTTGTATTTTTAGTTATGTGTAAGCAAATTAACTTAAATGAATTAATAAGAAATTCTGGGACTATTGATTTCTGATTCTTACATTATGGAAATGCCTTGTTTTTTATTTGGCAAGGCATAGCACATGTCCTTGAATGTGTTTTCACTGCATAGATGTTATTTTTACTAATTACTTTTGCATTTAATTTTGTCTACTTATGCAAATGAGTCAGTATGCAATCTCATTTTTCTTAACTGCTAAACAAATCCAAGTTAATCCTATAAATATAACACAGTTCTTTCTCCATGGATTTATTAATATGCTGAGACATAGCAGTTCAATATGTGCCCTTTTAATTTTAACGTCTGCTCTACTACATTAAGATTAGTTATTCTCATTTAACATATGTGGCACCAAATTCTCATATAAACTCCAACTATCCTTCTTTGTCTCCTTTACCCTTATAAAATCCGTCTCTTTGCCATACTGCTCTTTTTCCATCTACATAGGGTCTTTGACTGGTGGGAGGTTATATAGCATAGTTAGTGGTTAAAGGTATGTATTTTTAAAAGGTGACAAGACTCCCTGCACAGAAACCATATTTTTAGGATTAAGATATAATCATTGCTGTGCTCACTTCAGCAGCACGTGTACTAAAATTGGAATGATACAGAGAAGATTAGCATGCTCCTGCACAAGGATGACATGCAAATTTGTGAGGCATTCCATATTAAAAAAAAAAAAAAAGAACATACAACCATTGCCCATATTTATGGGATACGAAGTGATGTTACAATGCAAATATAAATTATGTAATTATTGATTTAGGATAATTAGCATATAAATATATACTTTTATAATTCCTTTCTGATAAGGACATTCAAAACCCTCTCTTCTGCTATATTGAAATATAGATTATTGTTAACTTTCATCATCCAACGATGCAACAGAACACCAGAACTATTTTCCCTATCAAACCATATCGTACTACTTGACCAATCTCCAACCATCTGCCACTTGCTTTCTCCAGCTGCTGGTAATAACTGTTCTATGTGACTTCTACCAGGATAATGTGTTATAGTACAGTCCATGTAAAAGTGATATCGTAAATCCTTGTTTTATTTTTTTACTTTCTTACTATCTTCATGACCTTTAGCAAGTTTATTAACCTCTCAGTTTTCTCACCTATAAATGAAGGGCAATGACATGCTTGCCTTGGAGATAGAACAGGTAAAGAATTTAGACCATTGTCTAACAAGTAGTGGATGATTAATATATGTATCAGCAATTCTTATTCTGTAAATTCCCTGAAGCACCATGGTTATGCCATATTTCCTAAAATAATAAATTAGAATTCCATATGTGTTTTCTTTCTTAAGCACCAGTACAAAAATCCAAGCCCCAGTATCCTTCTCAGCAAATCAACCTGGAATGATAATACTTTCCTTCCCTCTATGGCTGAGTCACATCAAATTCATAACACCAATATAAAAATTATTCTGCCAGCTCATCATATAGATTTTAGATTTTTATCATTGAGACAAATATATCATTAAATACTTGAAATCATAATTTGAACAATGATACTCAGTTAAACCAACCCAAATTATAAGTTGCTCCATTTTTATAGGTGAAATGAAAATGTTACATCATTGCTTGCAAAATAGCTTCCAGAAGATTATCTGGACTATCTGTTCAAATATACCATAAGAACATTGCCTAATTCTCTTAGTTAGTCTATCTCCACAGGAACTTCTTTAGAAAGGCAGTACGCAACCAATTTTTTTTTTTTTCATTTCAACATTCTCCACTTGTACAGTCTCTGTCCAGGGTGAATTGGTCAGTGCCAGGCTTGAAAAAAACATTTCCCATACATTGGCTTCCTAGTATCTGGACAGAAGAAATTCAATGGAAAATTAAACAAATTCCTAACATGAGAGTTGTGCACATCTTCTAGACACTAAAAATAATATAGAATGGGAAGAATCCTACAGCCTATCATGACAGTTAGACTTACAACAGATGGTAAAGGAAACAGTAGGGTGTGGCCAGATATTATTGTTAGATTAAAAATGTTTGTTCAGGTTAGATATGCACAAAATGGAAGAGAGAAAAATTAAATTCCTTTATCTTATTTTACTTTTTTTTTTTTGGAGAGTCTCACTATATCACCCTTTGTAGAGTGCTGTACTGTCACAGCTCACAGCAACCTCAAACTCTTGGGTTTAAGTGATTCTCTTGTCTCAGTCTCTCAAGTTGCTGGGACTATTAAATTCCTTTATTAATGGTAGAAAAAGATCAGATCTCAGGTGGACAGAGGTTATATTTAAAATATCTAAATTCCTAATTAGACTGAGGAATTTTATGGAGCAATCTTATACCTGAAAAAATGTAATGTAGTCCTAGACTCAAATAGGCCTAAGCTTAAGTTATCTCAATTTTTCTTCATACTCAGTGATTACATAGAAAAAAATCCATAAAAACAAATAAGTGAGCATATGTGGACAAAAGCAATATGAAAGAAATCCAAGAGGAGAAATTTACATTAATAACAAATCGATAGGGAGCGAGGTGATGGAGTTATTTTAAATACTTGACAATAACTATGCTTTAATATATTCAAGAACTATGCAAATATAAAGAATTATGACAGATGACTTAACTCTATAGAAAAAAGTTCAATTAACATTTGAAAATGATAAATCTAATAACAAGAAAGAAGAAACAAAACTCTGAAATTGAAAACTATTCAAAGTTATATAATTTTTAATGGTGATAAAGCTTCTAGGTAGTGCAAAGACGTTATGTGTGACTTCGAAAAATATTTAACAATTTTTATTTTATAAATATGGTAAAATATATGCTTATATATTGTTTTTACAAAGGTTGCACATTACTTAAACATTAATATCACCTCACCTCCTGGGTATGTTGCAACATGTCTCAAAATGAATGTAGATATTTAATAGAATGTTAAAGGTGTATATTTCTACCTATTCTAACACTTTTCAATAATACTTTAATGAAATCATTTAATGCATGCTTAATTTGGGGGGGTAACAGATATTTCAAAATATATAATTATGAAATAGTATTATTAGGTAATATAACTAAGGTACTAGGTTTATACAACTATCATATAAAATACTTCAAATATATAATATTGAATAAAATAAAACCTTTTCAATTTAGTAAAGATTATTAAAAGTCTTGAATACACATTTTTTAAAAAAGCTTTCATGAGTAATAGGTGAGCAATACAATTAACATGAAAACAGTGGTGAATGATCTCAGGATCTCGTGATATCATTTGTTGCAAAGTTCAATGAGTCAATCATTTAAAGCAGATCCTAAAATAGCAGACATAATCATGTTTGCATTAATGTAGTGTAAACAACATCACAGAAAATTATCACCCAACAGCAATCAGTGTTGAATAAGGCAACCCCAGGAGGATTACATTCATTAATAAGAAGCATGCTATTTATCATTAAAACATTGAACTTAAGATAGTCTGGAGTGCATAGTAAATCATTGTGAACTTCCCTAGTAAAGATCATTCAGAAGTTAATAACACAAATGTAAGAGGTGAGAAATCCGTGTCACACAGACATCATTCAAAGTAACTGGACATGACTAACAAGACAAAGTTCAAGACAAGATGTGAAAACAGTTAGAATATTGAACTGCCATTCCTTCCTTCAACAAATACTCACTAGTTAATCCAATACCAGGCCTGGTGAAACTCATAACCCGTGAGAGACTAAATTAACCCTACCTTGTTTCAAGTTTGAAAGCTAAAATAGAGTTCAGCTAAACAGGAGGTAGAGTTAAATAGTAAAGGATTAAGCTGCCTGCTGTCTCCCCATTTGAAGATGTTCATGTACAGCTGAATGCTCCTTTGCTCTACTATATACATATATCTTTTCAAGATATTTGATATGGGAGTTAATGGTCCATGAACATAACCCCTTTGTAGGCTTTGGTAAAACTTCCCTCACTGTTTGTATTTCAAAGCACTTTTAAACTTTAATTCTCTGACTTACCCAGCATTCATGTGCCCATCGTTGAACCGTATAATCTTTTGCATTAATTGATACATTTTTAAATTATTTTCCAAAATTATTTTGGGATCAGTATAAAACTTCTCAAGTGCAGAATTCTGCTCTTTTTTTCAGGTTCATTTTAAATACTACTACCTTCAGCATATTTCATAGAGTCCAAAAATGGAAATAAATATCTCACTATTAACTTTATATTATCTATTTTATGGCACAGATATGTTCCACTTCTTAGTATACAGTTTTTCTTTCTTTTGGTTAAAATTTTGTCTTTTAAATGCAGGTTTTGGTCTGAGTAATCCTGGCACTTAGAATTTAGAAATGAGCAGGAAGACTTTTGATGGGTGGAAGGCGAACAGGGGTTTTGTGGTGTGTCTGGTTTGGTTATTATATAAGAAGTTTGGTTATTATAGTTCCCTGTTAATCACAGTTTCCCTTTCCAGGGTTTTGGTTACCCATTGTCAGTATGGTCCAAATACATTAAATGAAAAATTTCACAAATAAATGATCCATAAGTTTTAACTTGTATGCCATTCTGAGGAGTGTGACAGAATCTTGAACCTTCCTGCTTAGTTTTTGTTCTTCACAAGAATAATAGTGAGTAAAGTACGATGTTATTTTGAGAGAGAGAGACACTTCATTGACATACATTTTATTACATTATATATACTTATAATTGTTCTATTTTAGTACTATTTAGTGTTTTTACTACCTTAATTATATGAAATTAATTAATAAATTAATTGTTTTTAGTATTTTCATTAAGGAAATTAAATTTCATTAATGTATATACGGGAAAACACATAGCATGTGTAGTATTCTGTACTAGCTGCAGGCTGAGGCATCCACTGGGAGACTTCAAACTACCCCCAGGGATAACGGGGTTTACCGTACTTGATCTCAATTGGAGTTGGCTCTCAGAAAAATGTTCAGCAGTCAATGATCTTTATGCTCTTTGGAAATACACTTGTACCTATGCTAAAATAAAGTACAGGTCATTATGCCTCTATGTCCTAACACCAAAACATAAGGGAGGCTTTTTTTAAGTCTCTTTGGATTTGAGAGGCAGCATGCCTTGCTCTTCAGTGAGTTGTTTCAAGTTCTGAGTGAGGTCTGGAGTAACAGGACTCTGCAGCAGGTCCGGATTGCAATACACTGCACCCTCTATCCTCTTTTAGCCACACAGGCCAGCATATCCAATGTACAGATATGTCTGTTCTGTCAGGGAAAGTCTATGTGAACTTCCAGCACAGACCACTAGGATTCTACTCTCCAGACGAATAATATATTCTGATGTGTAAGGCTGCTCCTCTGCCCACAGGGCACCAATTCACTATGCAGCTGTGGCTGTACACCATGAACCAGGTATTACGGAATGTGACAAATCACAATCATCAAGAAGGTAAAGAAGATATTCTTCACAGGAATGAAGTGAAAAGTGTTACATTTGGGGTCAGCTTAAGCTGGTCTCTAAGGCATGTATGTATACAGGGCATTCCAGCAATCATGTGGAAGTCAGCTCAAATTTCCCTTTGACTTCCCAGACATTTGCACAATGGGGCCATAAATTGAGAAGCTATGCAAAAAAAAGAACGAAAAATTTAGAGGAAAACACCATTGACTCACTAATCCTGACCCACAAACTCTAAAGTGCCTAAGCTTCCAGCAACAGGG